TGTCTTTTGCCATTAAGTATAATGTTGGCTGTAGATTTTTTTGTCAGTGCCTTTTATCAGATTGCTGTAGTTTAAATGTGTCCCCCAAAGTTCATGTGTTGGAAACTTCATCCCCAAAGCAGCAGTGTTGATAGGTGGAGCCTGTAAGAGGTGAGTAGGTCATGAGGGATCTGCCTTCACGAATGGATTAATGTTGTTATTGCTGGAATAGGTTTGTTGTCACAAGTTTAGCTTGTTCTAAAAATGAGTTTGGCCCTCTCTTGCTCTCTTACACTCTCTTGCCCTTCCACCTTCGACCATGGGATGACGTAAGGAGACCTCACCGGGTACCAAAACCATGTTTTTGGACTTCCCAGGCTCCCAGACTGTGAGCCAATAAATATCTCCTCTTTATAAATTAGCTAGTCTCAGGTATTCAGTTGTTTAGCAGCACAAAACAGACTTAAGACACGGACTGAGGAATTTTCCTTCTAGTTTTAGTTTGCTGATAGTTTTTATCATTACAGGCAAACTCGGAGATCTTGTGGGTTTGGTTCCAGACCACCTCAATAGAGCGAATATCACAGTAAAGCAAGTCACACAAGTTTTTTGGCTTCTCAGTGCATATAAAAGTTATGTTTATACGATATGGTAGTCTATTAAATGTGCACTAATCATACTAGGGACTCATCCCTGCACACTCTGGCCATCTCTCCGGGCTCGGCGAGGGGCTGCAGCCCCCACTAAACTTGCTGGGGTTTCCTGCAGTGCTCCACAGTCCTACTGTGTGCTCTACAGCTGGCCTGTGCATGCCCAGCATCTGCACACAGAGCAGGCCCTGAGTGGCACTGGGAGGGCCACCCTGTTTCTCATGGTCGAGTGGGATCCCAGAGCACAAGGCTGGCTGAGGGTCTGTCCTCAGCGGTGGCTCCGGTGCCTCCTCCCTATAATCCCTGTGGGCCCACAGTGGTCCCCAGGGCAGGATCTAGAGCCTGGGCTGGGGGAGAGGGGGCTGCAGGTGTGTTCCGCCGTGTGCTCTGCAGTGGGGTGAAGCAAGGTGGGCAACCTGTCTTGAGTCACGGTCCAGAGCAGCAGGCACAGGTGCCCTCCTCGACAGGTGGCCTCACCATGCTGGGCAACTCCTGCTCAAACCACTGGGCTCGGCTCTAGCTCCGACCCCTTCCGTGAACCTCAGAGGCGTTAGGGTCTCTCTGTAGCCTGTCCATGCTCCTGCCACGCTGCAACCCGGCAGCCATCATGTGCAGTGGCCATCCTCCTCCTCCTCTGCCTGGCCAGTTCCTGAGACACTTCGGCCTTCCCTGGCCTCCCCAAGTTCAATCCCCCAGTTGTGTCCTCACAGTTCCATGACGCCCTGCGTCACAGCACAGCCACCATCAAGCCCACACACTTGCTGGGCTCTTGGAAAACGTGGGCTGTGTCCGGCGCATCATCACCTAGAGCAGCCCGGCGCCGTGGGATGAACGGTGGGCAGGGCCCACTTCACAAAGGCAAGTGCAACTCACAGGGAGTAGATTTTCCAGAACACACAGGTCCTGGCCCACAGGACCGCGACACTGAAAGCAAGCCTGAAGCTCCGCAGGTCCGATCCAACCCCCTCCCCTCAACACTCCAGGAGTCCCAGCCCCGCCTGCACACCCTGGGGGAAGCCACCTGCTCCACACCCTGGCAGCTCTGCTCGTGCAATGCTGACACCTGCCCCCTCCGGCCTGTCCCCCAAGAACCAGAGAGGCCATACTGTCCTGGAGAAGGACAGTGTGCGAGGAAGCAGAAGGCACGACAACGGGAGAACAGGTCAGTGGAGTCAGCCAAGAACACAGATATGCAGAGACACCTCAGACAGAGCATCTGGGGGCGCAAGGAAGGGGTGGGGAGTGGTACCATGCTCCTGGGGCCAGGCCTGCTAGGACACAAAGGACAGTGCCCAGGAGAAAGGAACGCATCGAACTAAAACTGTTAACCATGGATGCAGTAAAGAGCTCAGATGGGACTTGGGGAGGCTGTCGCCCTGGGCCCGCCCTAAGTCTCTCAGCCAGGCACCCTGACTTTGGCTGCCCTGCTCCTGCAATCTTCCCCAGAACCTTCCAGACACAGGGCATGCCCTGTGCACTCCAGGCAAGATGTATCGCACGTCCCGCCCCTCTTGTCAACCCGGGCAGCCTGCTGATCCTCCGTGCCTGGCTCGAACATCACATCCTCTTTGAAACTTTCCATGACCACCCCGCTCATCGACACGGATCTTCCTCCCACTCCCCCTGAACACGGAGCACACAGCTGCCTGTCCTGGCAGCTCCCTGTGGGCCCAGATTCCCGTGCGGGACGGCAAGTGAACATCAGGGCTTCCCAAGTTCTGAAGGAGACGTGTCTAGGACGCCACCTTTTCCAAAGCACAAATCCACACAGGCCCCGAAAAGGACGTTCGTGTTGTTTCCAGATGCAAAAGGCAGCGTGAAGAGGCAAGGAAGATGCCGTGCCAGGTCCCGATAAGACTGCTGCCCGCTCCCCGCAGAGGGCCACTGTGGTGCGATCCAGGACTGCTCCCCACCCAGGCGCTTGCTCTGATGGCCTGGTGCTGCCCCCACCCGTCCCCAGCACCAAGGGCTTGCCTCTCACTCGCCCGCGCCCCAGACCCAGGCTTGCCCTTCATCACCTCCCTCTGCTCCCCGGAGGCTGCCCTGGCCCAGCCGCCTCTTGCCTGTTCAAAGGCACTGGCCCCCGGCTCACGCCAAAGCTGATTCTCTTCTCTGCCAGGGACCATCTTAAAACACAACTTGGATCCTATCTCCTCCTGTCCTGCACCTTGCGAGGGCTGCCCTGTCACAGAAAACGCCGCTACAGTCTCCTCCACTTCCCTGCTGACTTGTACTCCCTGGCTGTTCTCAGAACAGTCTTCCTCTCACCTCCCTGGCTCCCTGCTGCCTTAGTGCCTCACCTCATCCTCCACCTGACGGAAGCCCCGTGCCACCCCTGGGAACATGCACCTTCCTGTTCTGGACGCCAGGCACCCAGTCGGCATGTACTGCATCCCCGACCACGACCTGCCACCTACACGCACGCCCCTGTTCCTAGAGGAGCAGCCACTCGCCTGCCCAGTTCTCCACCCTAAGGACCTGCCAGTTCCTGCTCCCAAACACTGAGCTGCTTTCGTCCACCAGGCTTGGCACCACTGCCAGCCTGGGCCAAGGCTGGCCCTCCCAGGCAGGCCCTGCTGGTCCCAAGCACACGAGCCCAAGAGGGGCTTCCCTGCACACCCCGAAGAAGGTGCAGGAAACGGACCCCACAAAGGGTCAGGCCCCAAACCAGGGGAATGAATCAGTCTTGGGGCTGGCAGTCTGGCCGGACGTGGGCCACCTCCCTTCAGGCCTGACAGGGACAGGGAGGCCAGAGTCAGCAAGAAGAGCAGGGAGGGTTACCACAGTCCCCAATGCCAGTTTCCTTCCAGTGGGCAGGAAGTGGGCACTCCTGCCAGGCCAGCCTGGCTTCCAGGGGCCCTGTTTCCACCAGCCCAGTCCCCACCCTCAGCAGCCTGGCTTTATGAGTTCATTCGCTGAAGTCACCCAGAGACAATGCTGAGCGTTCAACCCCTGCAAGCCCAGGCCCAGTCCCGCACACGCCTGCCTGCAGTGTGAGTGAGGACGAATGATGGCGGCCGCTCCTGGCACCATGGACGATGCCGCGGTCCTAAGGAAGAAGGGTTACATTGTGGGCATCCATTGTGGCAAAGGCTCCTATGCGAAAGTCAAATCCGCGTACTCTGAGCGCCTCAAGGTCAATGTGGCAGTGAAGATCATCAACCGCAAGAAAACGCCCACTGACTTTGCAGAGAGATTCCTCCCGCGGGAGATGGACATCCTGGCCACCGTCAACCACCGCTCGATCATCAAGACCTACGAGATCTTCGAGACTTCTGACGGGCGCATCTACATCGTCATGGAGCTTGGCGTCCAGGGCGACCTCCTGGAATTCATCAAGTGCTGGGGAGCCCTGCAGGAGGACGTGGCGCGCAAGATGTTCCGCCAGCTCTGCTCGGCGGTCAAGTACTGCCACGACATGGATGTCGTCCACCGCGACCTGAAGTGCGAGAACATTCTCCTTGACAAGGACTTCAACATCAAGCTGTCCGACTTCGGCTTCTCTAAACGCTGCCTGCGGGACGACAGCGGCCGCATCACCCTGAGCAAGACCTTCTGTGGGTCGGCGGCGTACGCGGCCCCCGAGGTGCTGCAGGGCATCCCCTACCAGCCCAAGGCGTACGACATCTGGAGCCTGGGCGTAATCCTCTACATAATGGTCTGTGGCTCCATGCCCTACGATGACTCTAACATCAGGAAGATGCTGCGCATCCAGAAGGAGCATCGCGTGGACTTCCCGC